TTATTGACTCTGAGTGAGGTAAAGTAAGAGTTATTGTTTTTAACGGTATTTTTATATATACCTTAACCACAGAATCTCATATTATACATACGTACCGTATGTTCGCGACTATACATACGTACGAAAAAAAGACGCCAAGTTCACAATAGTGCGCCTCGCATCTGCTATCCGGCGTTTTATAAGCAGATGTTCTCAAAAGGCCCGAGTAAAAAAATCACTACCTGCCTGCACTCATTGTAGTACTTGCTTCAACTTGAGAAGGTTCGCACAGGGTGGCCATGATATATTGAATATCCAAGAATTCTACGTAAATTAGGCAATTTTAGGCCTTGGTTTAATAGGATTAAGTTTGTTAGTAATTGCTTTTTTTAGTTGTTGACGTATTTCAGTTATAAGGGAAATTCAATTTTTAAAATTTTTGTCTGTTTTCTGCTTGCATTACCGCGTTTGTTCTCCAATACGAAGAAATGAATTTTGAAGGGACCAATTTTACTGGAAAGTAGCTTTAAGTGCGCGGGAGGAACTTTGTTTACTTTTTTTAACAATTATTCTGCGCTGACGAGGTGATTAGCCAGCGTTACCTATAAATAATATTTCAGAGTCTCATTAGAATCATAGTCACCCTATCATTTTGTATACGAAATAAAGTAGAAACCTAAAGATTTCATACGCGTCCATTCTTATTTCGACAACAAGGAGATCGTAATTGTGTTAGTTGTTCCTCTCTGAAGACGTACCCTTGGCGCTTTTCTTCCATCACCAATTGTTCAATGAACACGCAAACAAAGCGTGATAACTTTCGGAATGCAATAATAACAAAAACCTTTTTACTCCTGCGTAATAACAAAAAAGTCACAAAAGAATCAATCTACGATAATACTTTGTGATTAAACTGATGCGACAATTTCCAGAAATATTAGTGAATATTTTTTTTTCTACTAGTATTAGGAAGAAAATTCGATAATGTGCCAGTGTATTGACGCAACACTAGCCTTACTAAAATACCGACGTTTATGTCCCCTCTCTATTCATTCTGACACAGGACTTTGTAAGGAAAGCACGTCATTCACGCTAAAGGATTCTATAATAATTAATAATGTCTAAAACTAGGCACTTAGAGTATTACAGGAAGACGATTATATGCATTTAAATAAGAAGGTGAATACTAACTCATGTTACTATCAATTTCTATCAAAATATTTTTCAACTAGCTGCCGCCCATAACTACGTTAGCGCGTATTAAAATGAATTATATATAATATAACCTATGTATTCTTCCAGACTATGTTCTACACATATGTCAAATTTCAACCTGATCCATACAGCTGTGCTTGAGATACTTTCAAACAAACATCCATCCACCCATTCATCTAAACGCATGTATAATGTTAGTAAGAAGTAAGATTAACGAATTCTGTCGTATAAGTCTTGTTTGTTTATAATATTTGTAGGTTAGATTTTTTAATGGAAAAATTACTTCTGGAAATACAGTTTAGTTACGATATAAGACAATAGTTATTAACAAAATAATACCTATATTATATATAATAAGGCCTATGCCTTGAGAGTGAATGTGTATGTTGACCTTACAATGAAAAGGATGTGAGCTATGAAAGATAATACGATGGTGAAATCCAATCGAGCCTCGCAGCATCCTGCCAAGCTTTTTAAATTGTTTGAATATGAACAGATGTTGATTATATACTGGTATACATACGCAAACCTTTAATTTTATCTTCTTACTAATATTGTGAATGTAAATGAATAAATGGATGTTTGTTTGAAGGTATATCCAGAACAGCTGAACGGATCTCAATGAAATTTGGCATATATAGAGAACAAAGTCGCGGACGACAGCTAGTTTTATATAAAAATTATAATATTAGAAGATAACGTATCTTAAAATAGGTTAGATTTAAGAATTTACTTTTCCTGTAATGTGATATGGACCTTTTATAAATACAATTAAGGTTTAATTTGGATCGTACATTTTGTAATCCTTGGAACAAGGATAATTATGTAGTCATTGTTGTGACGTAGGCTGTAGACTGCTAATTATGTACTTAGTTATTTATTATGCGTTAATGTAAACCGAGAGCTATGTTATTATAGACCAGCTGAACATTTTACGACAGATGTTATACAAAGAAAGCATCAATATTCTTTCTGCCTTGTTCAGAGATATTTAATGATTACTAAGGAAGGAATTATACTAAGAAACTACTTGAGCGACCATTAAAGGTAATATTTTATAGTTACACTAGCTGTTCCCGCGATTCCGTCCGCGCGGGATTAAAAAATAGATAGCCTATTCTCAGACCTTTTTTTTTCAGAGGGGAATGCTTTATGCATACTCCGCGCCCCGGGGGGGACGCGGTAGTTATGTGGGATTCTCCTCCATAACGGAGGCATACCCACTAAACCCCTCTGTTCCTCCAACGCATCGGGACGGGACCACGGGCACGCTTTCGCTCTCGTCCGCGGCCCCGTCTGCAGCCTATTCTCAGACCTGCTGAATATATACATAGATGGATGGATGTTTGAAGATATCTCCAGGACGGTTGAATGGATCTCGATGAAATTTGACATACATATTATATATAAATACAGTCTGAAAGAACACAAAAGCTACAAATTATTTTTTTTTAATTCCGCGCGGACGAACTGGCGGGAGACAGCAGATGATGATTTTATGGAACTAGCATTAGAAAAAGTGCCCACAATAACGCAATCCGAATAACTTTGAGTGGTTTATAAATACATAAATAATTTTTCATACTTAAGGCGAAGTAAAAACTGATAAAACTTACTTAAAAAAAAGACTTAAGTTCTTGTAGAAACCTCGCTACAATCCATGAATATACTAAAAGCTTGTGAAAAACATTTGTGTCAAGGCGTCGAAGTAAAATTTCCCATGCAACCCTTGTACCGAATCTAAATTTATTCTAATAATAAAAATAATATCCCTTTGTCTGTCGGGACAAGGTCTTACTGTGACCTAAAACACTTTTCTAGTATAAGCTGACATGTTTAGTGCGAGAGAAAGTTAAGCAAATATACTTTTGTATTAAATAGTTAATGCAGCTGTATTCTACTTAGAAATAGATTTTTTAAAGAGTTTTCATATTTTTTGTGGAGTAAATATTTATCTTATTAATATTCATCATCAGCTCAATATACGTCCCCACCGAGGGGCTCGGAGCCTACCCTAAGTTAAGGGTGATTAGGCCATAGTCCACCACGCTGGCCAAGTGCGGGTTGGTTGACTTCACACATATCTTTGAATTTCTTCTCAGATATGTGCAGGTTGCATCACGATGTTTTCCTTCACCGTAAGAACGTCGAATAAATGTACATATGTAAATCGGTAATCGAAAAACGCATTGGTACATGGCGGGATTCGAACCCAGGACCTGCAGATTGCAAGTCAAGTGCGTGACCCCTGAGCCACCGACGATCCAATTAATATTATAAATGCGAAAGTTTAGATGGATGCATGTTAGTAAAAAGGTATCTCCAGAACGGTGCATGGATATCGCTGATTAGGCATATATGTAGAACATAGTCTGGAAGAACACAGACCACTAATTATTTTTTTTAATTTCACGTGGACGGATTCAGCCAGCTAGTATATTCCAATAAAATAGGTTCTATATTTTACACTCATAGTATATTTGATTTTTAATTTGTAAGTGTTAAGTTAATAAGGCATCGTATACAAGAATTTTAGTACTTTAGAGATTTTATTCTTTGTTTTACGATTTTGTCTGTTTGAAAACAAATTCAACAGAAAATTCAATCGTTTACCGGTCAACCGGATGTTTAAGTTAACGGAATTAAATCTAATATTTTTATAAAAAATTAAAAAGGATATTATTCAACACTTATTTATATAAAACACCGCATTGAATACACATTTAGTCACAGCAAGCGAGACGACTGAATGCATCTACAAAGGGTATGAATACATGTCTAGACTTTTTGTGAGGTCTAGCATTCACTTGCAAAAAAAAAAGGAGTCTCACTCCCAGTATTGAACAGATGTAAATCGTAATGGTCCTGGTAAACAGACAGGAAACCAGTCTTTATCTAAAAAAATGGTTGGTTTAAGCTTTTAATGTAGGACTTCACTGTTTTTACTCATTTTAATAATACAGAAGCTATTATTTCATTTAAGAGAAACAGAAACGTTAATTAATGAGTTAGTTAGTGGATTTCGAATATAACAAATTTAGTTTGTTAAAAGTGTAGACAATTTTTTGGGTAAAGCATTTAAAAAGGTGAATTAAATACCAATTCTTAAACAATAAAAATATTTAAAAAGTTATATTTTAATACTTAATTATTTATTGTTTAAGATAATTACTTTTCTTTATGAATTAATAATTGACAAAAGTATCGCGTGTCACCATTTTGGCGCCACTCGTGTCATTTCCACGGGACGCATTTTAAAGAACCTGCAAATGAGAGTGAATAACCTAATTCCTACATGCTCGTTGCGAAAAGGGTTAACGTAGTTGATTATTATTTTAGCAGTGTAGTAATTTCTTATTCGCTTCATTATAGAAACGAACGAAAACTATTATGTAATCTTTTAAAAAAAATTACAAAAAAATAAGCTTATTCGATAATAATTCGATAAACAAACAACCAACAAAACAACACGTTGTCAAACAACACGAGTTTCATAAATGTATTTTTTCAATTGTTATCGCTTTTAATTAAATGAATAAGAGAAAATAATTCTACGCATGGGTTTATATGAAGTACAGATACAGTACGGTTCGTCTGGGTTGTACGGCGGAGTACGAGATTGCACACAAGTTGCGTGGCGTGCGTAAGTACCTGCGGCAAGTTACGGCCCGGCCAGGGCGGCAGGGCGGGCGGAAGCTGCGTCGCAGCCCGCCTTATTGCAGTCGCGTCGCCCCCTCCCGGCCGTCGGCCCGCGCCTCGCGCCCCCGCCCCACCACCCCGCAACGAACCGCCGGGCGCGTGCGCCCGCCGGCCGGCAACTCAGTTCAACGCCGCGCCGCGACCGTACCGCACGTGTGTTCATGACAAACCGCGGCGTTTAAAAACGATCGAACGCGTCTCACCAATATTTTCACGAGTGACACGAGAGGGCGACCTCTCTTAGCCGACAAGATTGCTTCTCAAGTGGAAATGCCGTCGAGCCTGTTCGGCGAGCTGGGCGGCGGTGGGCTGGTGGAGGACCAGAGCGCTTTCCGGCTGGCGCTGGAGCTGAGCATGCTGAGCCTTGGCGAGCCGATGCCGACGACAAACCCCTTGGCAAGCCCCATCGGATTCGCTCCGCCGCCCGACGACCGCGCCAAGAAGTCGCAGAACATGACGGAGTGCGTGCCGGTGCCCTCCTCGGAGCACGTCGCAGAGATCGTCGGCAGACAAGGTACCGTATGTTTGAGGTTAGGAAGCGACCGGCGCCGCGCGCCCCCGCCACCCTTACATAAGGGCGCACGTGTCGCGCCGGCTCGCTCAGGTTATGTTCGAATGAATGTACGACACCCTCGGAGCGACTCCGTCTTAATTACACATAACAATTACTTTTTGTTTGTTTACCCTCTCAAAACAGTTTGTCGGAATGTCCCTCGTCTCAACACATGTCTTAAAATTTGTATGAACATTGTCTAAACGTTATGATACTGTGTTTTCGTAACAAAACTGATTCTTGAATAATTGCTGCAATGGATTATTCGAGATCTTAAAAATCTATCTAATTTCTCGCTTCGAGACGTAGCATTTCGAATCGGTTATAGTAGAAAAAAATAACGTCGGATCTAATTAAGAGGTAGAATTCGACAAAAAATGATATCCCGAGGGATGTTGTGATTCTCGGACGAGGGTTGCGTAAAAAATTCCGACAAAGTGCGCCGAGAAGCGAACCTTATCTGAGACTAATTTCTCGAAATGTGCATAGCACAGGATTTGCAGCGGAGGAAAAACATTGTGAACCTGAAAATTCTATCATCGCTCCAAGGATGTTCGTCGTTTCCGTTGAATGTTTTAAAAAATTCGTTAATTGTAGGTAGATTTTGTTCATGCAACTGTTTTATTTATTAACATTTGGTCGAGAGTAAAGTTCTTTTGCGTCATTATGCTGCATTATTTATTTCAATTTTTTTTGCTAGATTACTCGTTTATTTATATTTTATTGTATGTAAGTCTGTACGTTATTAGTATTAAATAGTTTTATCACAAAAATGTCGTCATCCCGTATTTAGTTTGGTACGTAAATGTTTTTGTATAATTGTATGTAATTAATTTTTTAATGCGCTTATCGGTTTGTACGGTGAACCCCACAACATTGCGCCTTAGAACAACTAACAGTATCAAAATAATGAAGGCCGCGCATATTTAATTTGACTAAGGGTTGTCACCTAACGAATACACAATTTTGAATTTCGAACGAATTTTATTTTATAGCAAACGTGCGAATATCCATTTTAATAGGTCAGTCTAGTAAATGACTATGAACACATAATAATACAATCTGTCATATTAATGTTGTTGGTATGTCTTACTCGTATATTAAGTTGTAATTTTTACTATATTTATGATTCACTAGCTTTTGACTAGTGAATCATAAATATAGTAGACTAGACTAGACTTCCTTCATCTGGTTGGTATTTAATATAACACATTATTTTGAACAAGTATAAATATTAAAAAGAAAAAGGGCATTCGATATTTGGTAATTTAAAATGTTATTTTCATGTCACATTTGTTAAAACAGATTGTTAAGCAAATTAAAGTTCTGAGACGTAAACAATTTTCGATTTAAAAAAATATTTTCTTATGTGGCAACCCTAGCTGTAAAGATACTAGTAAAGTTGCCGCAACGAATGCCTGTTTCGTATAAAATACAAAATAGGTAATTAGTTTAGTGGGCATCGTGAATATATTTGGGGATATCTTTGAATTGAGTTGTTACTGCGTCACGCATCGCGGCAGCGGTGTTTGGGCGCGACCTGCATTGTCAAAGGTGACAACGTACCACTCTAATAAATTGACTCATATCGTTTATGGTTCAATAAAAGCATATTAAAGAAACCATAAATCATAGAGTTTATTATTTAATCAATTAAAATTTGATCATTTGAAAAAAGAACTATAGACGAGAACTAACGTTTTAAATTTGAATTTTGTTAAAACAGCTGTCTGCTTATATTTATTCTCGCAATAAGATCGTTTCTACTAAATAAAGTTGTCCAAATAAATACAAGACCGCAAATTTAGTGAAACGGGTAAATGTCGAGACATTTTAATTGTTCTTGTCTCAAATTAAAGTAAAATTTATTTTCGTAAACTGACAGTTGATAATTTCACTTTAGCTAGACACGTCAACTAGTAAAATGCCTTAAATATTTTAGCAATTTTAATTCCTTAGCAATAATTATAAGTATTTTTATTAAGCTCATATTAAAAATATTGAAATTCGGCATATATTAATATGTTCTAAATTGTCTATAGTACGATTTGTTCAACTACACACCGACATGAGCGACTATTATTAAATGCTTACACTAATTTCACACGAGGGCAAAACAATAAGGCAGAGCAGTAGTACACTGCAAGTACTTCCATTATTGGAACGCGTACACCAAGATGTTATTGTGCGTTTAAACAATAGTAGTACTGTTCTGTCCTGCTACTCTGCCTTACTGTTCCGCACTCGTGTAAAGTTACTGGGGGAGGAGAGGACGCGATCCGCACGGGGTCAATATACAGAGTATAACTCTGTCACACACGGCTCATACGAGAAATACTTATGTTGTTCATTTTACATTCTATAGTAGGGACTGCTTGAGGTTTACTATAGTGGCAGAATGACCTATGTTGCTTTTGTTTAAAAAATTGTCACCATCTTATTAACGTGAAATCGTTTGACAGCTGGTGACAGTTAACAGTTTATCTTTTTTAATATCATAGAAATATATTTATTATCTGTTACACTATTTCAATATATAGGACTTAAATAAATACTTATAAAAATCTATGTATCAGACGTGCAAAGAGATGCAATTTAATTAAGAACAGGTATTAGGCGGTCGGCCATGCGATGTTTGCGAGGTCTTTTTAAATCGGTTGCTCGGCTTCAGACGGAGGTGCATTCCGCTGGAAACTTTTCCCATAGCGAAGAACAATAATACACAATTATAGTGGACTATATCGCAGTACATTCCGTGGCGTTTCCAGACGAAGCTCGTAAAGGCCGAGCAAAAAATCCACCAACAAGTTGCAACCTTGTCTCAGTACAGAGAGCTGCATTCGGTTAAAGAACTCTGCCGGGGCTCGCTGCCCTTTAAAGTGACAAGGTGGTAAAGCGAGCATTTTGTATTATGTGGGTTACGTCGTTATATTTAGGTCGTTTCGTTCGGGCATCGGCGTTCGTTCGAATGTTTTAGTTCTGCGAGACGGCATGCACTTTTGTTTTTCGTTCGTCGGCGGGAATTAACTGTGGTTTGGCTTTTCGATTTATTTTATGTTGGTAGTGTACTCGACAGTGACTAGCGGCTGCATTTGCGTGTAAGTTGGTACTTCTGCATGATCTAAAAAGTCGTTGCATCCTAGTCGTTTACAATGTAGTTTAAAAATGTTTGTTTTGTCTCCCATACCCTTAATTAGTTTTATACACATATTATAAACGTTAATAAGCATGTTCCAAAATTTTCTGTTTATATAAGCATTGCATAAATTAATAAAACTTTATCTTTAGGCCAATTCAAAACATAAAACGTAAATAAAATCAGCGGATATCTTAATATGCGGCTTAACCTGAATGGTGTAATTGAGATAAAAAAAATATGAACTGGTAACCCTTGTAAGGGTCCATTAAGCAAATGGGATGCTTTAAAGTTTCGTGTTTCACTCGGAACATTGCAAAATTACACGCAAATAAGTTGTAAGGGCAATTACAGCAACTGCCACCATATCGGCGTGAAGGGCGAAGTCCCATTACAACTTATTATTTATAATAGCTCCAATGAAAGATTTATTTTCATCGACGTACTTTTTAATATTGAGAATACAGTGATTGAGATTGTCAAGGATATGATTTAAATTGAACGTCTGATTTTCAATCAACAAGACCTTCGCGAAGATTCAGACAAATTTGCAAGAAAGTTCATACTAAACATAGTACACAAACTACATTTAAATATAATAAATTTTATCAATCTCCATATAACAAACAAAGCTCAAGGTCCATTAATCCTGGTATAGTTTTGATCGCCATTTTTGTGGCAGAAAAAAAAACCCACCAGGAATTATATAAAAACTCTTTGGAGGAATTATATAAAAACTCTTCCTTTTTGTAGTTGATGCGTGTTCACAATGGAACGGTAAGATCGTAGAATGGTAGAAATTCAATACGCACTTAACAAAAGTTCGTTTTCAAGGGACTTGTTTTCTTGGTACTTGATCACAAATACGATTTTCTGCGCTGCCGTGTCTGTGGGCACGTTTTATTTTTGTCTGGTTGTTTTTATGCATGCGTTTTGTGTTTATTGAAAGGCGTAATAGATTTTTTTTTAGATTATTTACTTTGTAGTCTCAAGGGCTGCTTTAGTAAGGTTTTGGAGATTTAATCTTGTAAGGACCGGATATAAACGAGACGTTTATCTCTGGTAAAGTCAAGAAAAAGTTTTTGTAGTATTGTATATTTAAACTATGCATATAGCAGATTATTGAGGTTACTTTATTTTATTTCATACTTATGATGATTCTTCTATTTAAGTGTAGATGTCCGTATCTTCAATCCATAGACAAGTTTTACTTAAAAGTCGTTGGACAAGGTTAAATAATTATTTTCCCATTCGGTTAGTTGGAATATTACTCTATATACCTTTTAGTTTATTTACGAACAGCGAAAATACAAAATTATCTTCGCTTGACTTATTCATAAATGTCATTTCAATGGAATTATTAAACTTGTTTTTTTTAATAGTTTATTCGCTATAATTACGAACACCTCTGAAAGTAATATCCGTATTGAAATAAAACAAGAGAAGTACCAGTTAACAATGTAATTGCCAGACTGCGGGGTAGTCGGGAAAAAATAGTAAAAAGAGAACAAGGTACAACGCACCGGGGCAGGTGCTAGTTGAGGACAAAGAGCGATTTCAATACAACATTTTGAATTCCTCTCAAAACATAATTACGACCTTATAACTACGCACTTTCAATGACATGAATGTAAAGTGTGCACATCCTTTATGACAAATCGCTTTACCAAGCAATTTCGACCTTAGTCCTTAAACAATAAGGTGGTGCCAGTTGGCAAAAGTGAAGCTTTGTTTGTACGGAATGACATGTGTTTGAGACAACGCAATATACCAAAAGGAGGTTGTTTAAAATTCTCGAGTTTACGCGCGGACAGGCGGTGACGTC